AGCTAAAAAATATCTTCGATTTTTAGAATTTACTTAAAAGTATAAACAGAACCGAATCGCTGAGCGAATTTCGTCGGACGGAGCGATGCCGTCGGGTGATATTCGCCGCAACGTTTCGCCTAGTAACAAAACCGAAACAGAATACGCCTCAGTCGAATGACAAATAAAAAATATAAAAAAAGTCCAAAAACAAAAAATTAATCCGCAAATTTTCCCATTTTGCCCATTCCGGATAATTATCTGCTAGTAATGTGGAGAAACAAAGCTATATTATCACTGACAACTGATTTTGTGCCTGGCGGCAGCGGCAAAACTAAAAAAAAATCTATTCTCGCTGAATTTCATCAATCGAACTTCGTTGCAGCTTTGGTTGTGTGCAGTCTCATATACTGCAGTGTGCTCTAATTTTGGCAGCGAACTTTCAACCCGCGAATTTCGCTTAGCGATTTCATTCTATTTACACCTTAAAAAATACAGATTTCGAATACCAAAGATATCTTTTCTCAGAAACTATGCGTCTCACCAAAAAATACTTTAAAATATCTTTAATTCAAAATTATTCCTTTCTTTTTTTTTGCAAATTTTTGAGTTTATCACGCCGATTCTGAACAGAAACTCGCTCGGAGTTTTCTCTCTTTTGCCTTTCCTCCTATTATGAATAAAAATTTTTTATATTGAATGTCGGAGTTGAGCTGTCAAAAAAGTGTCAAACAGCTCTGGCCAAGTTCGAATTTTCTCCTCCCAAATTTTCGGGAAAAATGCTACTCCCTGGGATTTAATTATTGGAGGATTTATTTCTCCGGAGAAACAAATTAGCGGTAGCCCACTGCAGCTGGGTTTTGCCTCTGGTCCGACCTTATGAATGCGGTGGGTGTCGCGGGTAGACTACACAGGGCCTAGCCTCGGTTGCAATCTGCATAGCAAGTTAGCATATATTTGTGGCGCGAACTTCTCGATATGAGCCCTCAATATTGGGTCTTGATCTTTCTCTGTGAGCGGGTAGCAGTCCTCCCAAAGCTATAATAGTGTTGGCCACATTTCGTTTGTTGCACCACTAATTGCGGAGATATGGATACGTCCACCCGGGTAGTGTTACGCTAGGCAATTAACTTTGCTAAAATTTTTTCTAAATAAATACAATGCATGTATAAATATAAGGTGCAATCCCGTATTCCTCGGACTAAAACCAGTAAAACTGTCAAAAAATAAAAATTCGCTCAGAGCGAGAGAGTTACATTGAAAAGGACGGGATCGCTTTCTGGTAAAAAATGTTAACTTCTGTCAACTTCAACATAACCTCCAAATATTGGTTGTACATTTTTGCTTATTTTGTATGTAAACACACTCAGCTCACACATGTAGATAACCAAAAATATTTTCAACTTCATTAGAATCCACATGAATTAGCAGACTGCACTTTTCTTTCGTTTGACACATTTACCAGAATTTATCAGCAAACAATCTTCGGACTAAAACTGGTAACTTTTCATAAAGAGAGGACCTTATTTACTCTCTTTTTTGTGCTCTCAATAGTCAGAGAACCGAATACGGGATCGATTCTGACTAGTCCGGACTCGTACGACACGGTATTTTTGTCAAAATTTTCATCTGCTGATCTCGATTTTGTTTTGAAAATGAGCGAAACCCGACACCAATGTACGATTGTCTCGACCCCACCGCCATCTAGAGAATCCAATTAAACTTGTTAACTCTACCGAGTATGTCCTTCTGCTATCAAATAAATGGTGCAATCGCTTTCGATTTCTATCGAAGACGCGACTGGGCGGCGTCTGTGAACGTTAACATTATTTTGAGTTAAAAATGCTATTGGTCAATTGGTTATTAAATGCCTTAATGGTTGACGAGCTCAAAAAGTCAATTATGTAGTTTAATTTTAATGGCTTCTTTTCATTTTACAACGCTTTTATCAACTTGCAATGTTGTGGATCCAGAAGCTTTCAAATGTTGTGTGTCCGA